GGGCTAGCTATCTGAGACTTAAAGCATCTCCTCCTGTTTTAGGAAGACAAAGACAAGGGCAGTGAAATTAATTATCTTTATTGTTCATTCTAAATAATAATTGTTTTTGTGCAAATCTAATCGTTTGAGAAGAGAAAGAACAAGGGCCAGGATAATTACTATTCTTTTTATAGGTTTTACGGACCAATGCCTGTTGCTTCATTGGGGAGAAAAAAATCATAAATATGCCAGTCAATAGAAGGAAGAACCGCCATCACAAATATATTTTTGTACGTTTTGTGCCTTGTAATTTTGTACTTGATAAGTTTATTCTTTGAAAATAAAACTCCGAGATGAGAAGTGGGCTAAACCTTACAATAGGCTAGCAATAATGTGATTCAAATTCGTTTTTTACGAGAATTTATCATTAGACTTCTCACTTACAAGTAAAAAAGAATATCACTAAACCGTACACTAAATGCTAACATTTTGATGTTAATTACAACTTATAAATACGAGTCGATTAGTTTTTAAATCAGATTCAGGTGGAGAATAAACACACATTCAATCATAACTTAGATGAGAAACAATTAAAAATAAGAATTTCTCGAACGCAACTCTGTTCTTTAGTAAGTGATTGTCAAACAAAATAAAGATAACTTGTTGATATGTTTTGTTGGCAATTGACATCTACACATGATTTTTTAAAATTTTAAATTTTGGTAAAACGTCTACACATGATTTACGACATATATTGTCATTAGGGCTGGCATTTTGAACCCGACCGGTTAACCCGATCCGACCTGACCCGTTAAAACTAATATTTGGGTGAGTGCTTAACGGGTTGGGTTGTTAACGGATCAACCCATTAGTCACCCATTAAGTAACGGGTCATTTTGGGTCAACCCGCGAAACCCGTTAACACCCGTTAAGAAGGACTTTTGTGTGATTTTATAGTTGGAATAGAAAACCTAGCTCTCTCTGTTCTCTCACGTTCGAACCCGACTGAGTGGCGCCGTTCTCTCCCTCATCTTCTTCCTCAAGTTGGCTGCCGTTCACTAAGTTCTACCACCCTCTCTCCGGTAAGTTCCGATTCCCTTTCACCTCTTCTTCCATGGCGATTAATTTTCTTTTTTGCAGATTATATTTTTCGTCTTTCTCAGTTTTTGCTTGAGCTTGGTTTGAGGTGGTACTCTTCAGATGAGCTTCGAATTAATTTGGAATTAGTTGATTTGTGTTTGATGATTTCGATTGCGATTGTGATTTTGTTGTGCAAATGGTGCTTTCTGTGTGTGATTGTGCTTTTGTTCTCTTCCTTCGCAACTTAGATAGAGAGAGATCTTACCACTTCTCCATCCCATCACACACTCGATTCATACACACACACATACATACGTTATTCTTCTATCATGGGTTTGATGGTGATTGAGGAGGAGAAGCAAGCGGTGGCCAAGCCCTTCGACGAAATGGGTTTTCATTAGAATTGGGTTTTGATTAAAATACGTGTTCTGTTTTCGCATTGGAAAAAGGTCATTGCTTTTCTCTTTTGCTTTCCCTTTTTAGTTCCTTTGTTTATTGCTTATTGTTTAGAAAAAGTAAGGAAACCTCATTCTGCAGCCTACGGTTTCTTTTGCCTTTTGCCTTTTATGGGTCCTTTGTTGTTCACAAAATCAAGAACTGGTGGTGGAGATAGAGAGGGAATTTAAGATAGAGATGCTCTTCTTGTTACTTATAAATTAGAAAGTGAATGATTGATTTAGACCTACAAGCAAAAGGCGCATTCGAGTTCACAAAGTGGACTTTGTGAGAGATATTTGCTTCTACCTTTTGGTCATTGTATGTTTGGGTGTTATCTTGATTCACAAGGAAATAGATGTGTGGGCTGCAATGGCTTTCTCTTTGCTCTATTGCTTATGTGATTGTGGTTTACGTCTCACACAAGCATCGGAAGAAAAGTGTAGAATTGAGCTGTAATTCGAGCAATGAGAGTGACTTAACTGTGCCAATTCTTAGCAGAGGAATGAACTGCACAAGGCAGTTCTAAAGTAGTAGAAGTTAAGAAATGCTGCTCTGATCTTAGATCATCTGTTTTTTTTTTACACCGACTGATTTTCATACTTGAGCTACCGCTTTATCTGCCTAGGAGATTGACTATTCCTGTTGTTTGTGAAGCAAGATGGTGTAAGCCATATGTAGTTGCTTCAGTGACACTAGCACCAGTGCTTTTGTCAACACTTTGGAACCATCAATTTGGAAATTTTAGCTTCAAGACAAAGCTTGCAATCTATATTATCGGTTTGATTTTTGGAATTACTTTTGGAACCATCAATATGGTCTTCTGCTGCAATTGATGGATATCTCGCACTCACAACTCACTTTGTTGACAAAGAATGGAAAATGCACAAAAGAATTTAAAATTTTTGTCATATGCCTCCTCCACATACTGAGGTTGCTTTGTCTGAAAAAATTAACGCCTTATTAGTTGAGTGGGGGATTGAAAAGAAACTGTTTTCCATTACTTTGGATAATGCCTCTGCAAATGATTGTTCTGTTGAGCTATTGAAGAAACAATTAAATTTTAAAGGTTTGCTATTAATGGATGGAAAGTTCTTCCACGTTCGTTGTTGTGCTCACATCCTAAACTTGATAGTCCAAGATGGACTAAAGGAAATTGATGGATCAGTGACGAAAGTTTGTGAGTGCATCAAATATATAAAGTGTTCAGAAGGGAGAAAAAATAAGTTTTTTGTTTGCGTTGCACAAGTAAGATTGGCAGGTAGTAAAAGAGGGTTGAGACAAGATGTGCCTACTAGATGGAATTCAACATATACAATGCTGGATAGTGCTATTTTCTATCGTCGTGCTTTTCTCAATTTGGCACTTGTTGATTCTAATTTTAGTTCATGTCCTTCATTGGAAGAGTGGAATAAAATGGAGAAGATTTCCAATTTCTTGGGGTATTTTTATGAAGTTACTTGCTTATTTTCTAGAACAAATTACCCTACATCAAACTTGTTTTTCCCAAAAGTGTTCAAAGTCCATTATTGTATTCAAGATGCTATGAAAGATTGTGATGATTTCATGAGACAGATGGGGAGTTATATGAATTTGAAGTTTGAAAAATATTGGTCAGAGTATAGTTTGATCCTTGCCGTTGCAGTGATTCTTGATCCTCGCTATAAATTGGAATTTGTAGAGTGGGGTTATAATAAGCTTTATGGTAAGGATTCCAGAGAGTTGAAGGATGTTAGTGGCACATTATTTTCACTCTATGGTCTTTACATAGACAAGTTCTCACATCTTCTTGTATCCAACCCAGTCAATCAAACTCCTACTCAAATAAAAGTTGGAGACAAACTTTTTGAGGTAGTATTTATATTTGTTATTCCTGTTTTTATACTTTTTATATGCATCTTTATATTGTTCGTTGACGTCATTGTTTCTATTTTGTTTTTATATGTAGGAATTTGATAATATTTACCAAGATGGGTCAACTTCAAATGAAAAAACTAAATTACATCTATATCTTGAAGAAAAGAGACTTGATAGAAAACAAGAGTTGGATATTCTTTCATGGTGGAAATTAGAGCAATTTCGTTATCCCGTACTTTCTCGTATGGTTTCTGATGTGTTAACAATTCTCATCTCAACTGTTGCCTCGGGATCAGCATTTAGTATTAGTGGTAGGGTGCTTGATCAATATCGAAGTTCTTTGTTGCCTGAAACCGTTCAAGCCTTGCTATGTACTAGAGATTGGCTTTTTGGCAAAGGAGGTAAATTTTATATTACTTTGTATTTTTTTTTCTTACATAATAGATTATAATTGTTTTCCTTTTTTAACTTTTATGTTTAGCTTTAGAGAAAGAGGGTGCTGACTTGGAAGAACTCAGGACAATGCTCCAATAGTATTAGTCTTGATTAAGCATGGTATGTATTTTCACTTGTTCTTTTAAAGATATTTTCTATGATGTTTAATAATTAGGATGGATTATGCAAGAGTAATGTCTGATTTTGTATACTTGCTCATTGCTCTTGATTTTGTGGGTGTGTTGCAGATTTTTGGATGTTCGATATGCAAATTCTTCCTTGAAGTAGCGATGTAATTGGGTGGTACATCTTGGTGATGTTGAATACGGCATTGCCCCATGACTTATAGCTATGCTTCACATTTTGTAAAACCCTTATGGAGTTCTATTAATTAGTTGATTTGGAAGATTGTAGTATGATATACATACATATATATATATAATACATCTTGGTGATGTATATACATCAGTTATGAGACCCAAAGTCACAATCTTAAGGTCACAATTTGCATTGAGAAGTAGGCTACTCGGTTTCAGGTCACAGTGCAAAACATTTGCAGAGTGTATGTACTTCAATCCCCACAGATATATATATATATATATATATATATATATATATATATAATGTTTGTAATTTTGGGTAAAAGATGTGTAATTTGTATTGGAATGCAAAATGTTAAAAAAACAAAAAACAAAAAAAATTATTAACGGATGAAATGGGTGACTTATTAGGCTTAACGGGTTGGGTTCGAGTAACGGATCAAATTAAACCCAACCCAAATCCAATAAATCCGACCCGTTTACAGATCTAATTGTCACGCAAGCCTTACATCTCCTCCTAGGGTTTTCAGTACTCTCAACAAACTGCCTGCTACGTTAGCATTAGCCACGGCTTTCACTAACGAATAAGAAAAGACATGTCTGCGATCCGGTAGATTCAACGGTACAGATCTTTTTTCTTTTTTGGGAAAAACAACGGTATAGATTTTTCAATCACTTTTAACTTTTTCGACTCGGCTACAGCCTGGAGCTAAAGCTGCAGCAGCCGCCTGAAGAATCTCAAAACAAACAGCAGCTTGCGTGTCAATTCCACATCCGTTCGATCAAAGTCCCACACCCTAATCCAACAACGCAAAACCCCCCACCTAACCCACACTTATCGAGAAACATACGGCCCAGAAAAATCCACGTTTATCTTCGGATTCGTTATTACCC